AGACTGAACTGCTAAGGATAGTTTGAACTGTGGGAGCTTGGCTCAACAGGTTCAGAGAAGAATGTTAGTATGTGGCCTGGAAACCGGTCTTGTGTGATATTTGGTGAAGAATGTGGCTGCTTTTTGTCCTTGTCTGAACCCATCTTTTTTTATTGCTTTTATTACTAAATATATTTTTCTCTGCTCCCCTTCCTCCCTCTCCCATGATCTCCACACTCCTAATTTACTCAGGAGATTTTGACTTTTTCTACTCCCCATGTAGATTAGATCCATGTATGTCTCTCTTAGGGTCCTCTTTGTTGTTTAGTGAACCCAAGTCTTAAACAGCTGTACTTATGAAATAAAAGGCCATAAAACTTAACAGATTTTCAGTTATAAATAACTTGGTAAATATGATCAAAGTACATTATGTGCACATATGAAAGTATCACAATGAAACATTATTGTAATTAGTATACACTAATTTAAAGATATGTAACACAATTTTATATAAAGTAGTCTGACTATATCAGTGCAGTCTTCTGGTTACTTTAAATAATATAGAGAACAATTGTAAAAGAAAAAACCCTGTATTAATAGGCTGGCAAGATGGCTTAGCAGGGACAGGTGCTTGCTATCAAGCCTGATAACCTAAATTTGATCCCCAGGATCCACATAGTAGAAGTAGAGAACCAGCTCCTGCAAGTTGTTCTCTGACCTCACACCTGTGCTGTGACATGCACACCCACAAACATGAATTAAAATGTAATTAAAAATTAAGTAACCTGCTGAGCAATGGTGGACACCTTTAATTCCAGCACTCGGTAGGCAGAGGCAGGTGGATCTCTGTGTGTTCGAGGCCTGCCTGATATACAGAATAAGTTCCAGGACAGTCTCCAAAGCTACAGAGAAACACTGTCTTGAAAAGAACAAAAAAATGAGAAATATAGAGCAGAGAACCTATCTTTTACAACACCTTGAAGTTAGAAAAAGCCATCAAAATGTGGCCACATGATGGTCTAAAGTAAATCAGAATACCAAGGAGCCATAATGATGTTTATAGCCTCATCAACTTGTCTTTAAAAGTAACTTATCTCCTCTGGATCTCTAGTTGTGAACTATATAAAATAGGTTGTAGAAATAGAATATGATTTTTATCGTGTATAATACAATTTGTGAAATTGTTTAGACCATTCTTTATAATTAAAGTGCATTCATCATAGATAAGTTTTATTACATCCATGCCACAGCTAAAGTAAATATACTAGCAAATTTACAAAGTAAATAAAATGTGATTGTGCTTTTTCATTGAAAATCTTCAGTTTTTTATTTATATATATTAACTATAGTGCCTCTCGTTTTATGATGGCTTTGAAGCCACTAAGCACTTTGAAGAATCATAGAATCTTGAGTCTGGGGTAGAGGCTTAATTGGCAAGTATGCTTGTGTGCTTGTCCCATATGAACAAGGCCCTGAGTTCAATCCCCAGCACCCAAAATTAAATGTATGAATGAGTGAATAATCATGAAATGTTGCTTATGTAATGTTTTAAGTGACAGTGTTTAACAGTATAGTAAATCTCTTATTAGTTATATGCCTCTTTGCTCTTATATTAAAGGCAGAAGGATCCACATTGTTGTGACTACTGTTTACATTGCTGTGTCCACTCTTAGAACCAAGAACTCTGGAATACATCATATGCTATCCAAGCCTTTATTTTTCCTGAGACAGGGTCTCATGGAAACTCATTCCACAGCCCAGACTGACTTCACATTTGCTGCATTCACTGTCTGCTCCAGCTGCTGGGATTACAGTTGTCTCTGGAATGCCCAGAAACTTTTAGGTTTATTTGTTTCGTGAAACAGACTGTGTAGCTCCTGATAATTAACTATGGATTAATTACCAACTGCACAGGAATTTTAGTGAATGCTACCTTCTAGGGGAAGTCAGCCTTTTGTAGCAAAGAAGTTTTAGATAATTTCCATTCAACTTCATTTCCAGGTTTTGTTCTGGATTTTACCTCTTTCCCCTGCCCATACTGAGTGAGAGTCAGCAGCGGCAGAGACTACAGCTCTGACTGGTGGGCACTAAGATGCCAGTTATATAGCTGATACTGTGCAGTAGGAGAAGATGGCCAGGCATTCCAAAATCACCCAAAAACTGTACTCTTTAGAGGAAAAAATATTACAGCCCTAACTATATTTTAATGAGGTTTATTGTTTACATATTAAGAAAAAGACAATGATTGGAAAGAAAAATAATTTATTAATCTAGTACATTTTTAGACCTTTCACCTTGAAAAGAAACTTTTAGGATTTTATTTGACTGTTTGTTTGTTGGATCGGATTGGTTTGGTTTGGTTTGGTTTTTGGTTTTTGAGACAGGGTTTCTCTGTTTAACAGTCCTGGCTGGCCTCGAACTCAAGAGACTTAACCTGCTTTCTGAATCCCAAGTGCTAATATTAAAGGCATGTGCCACCAAAGCCCGCTGAAAAGAAAAAAAGCTTTTTAATTTATAAGTATATGTGTGTGTCAGTATAATATATCACAATATTCAATTCTTCTCTCTGAAAAATAATATACTTTCTAAAAATAAAAAATATAGCCTTAGGAGGGATATACATTTTATACAGTTGAAAGCTACAATTTTTAGAAGTTAGAACAGTTGAATTTGGCAAGCTTGTTCTACCTCCATAATCTTGTTTAATGGTGGAAAATATTAAGTCACCCGTCTCCTTGGCCGTGTGTGTGTGTACTCTGGATCACATGATACTGTTGTTCTCAATTTTTTCCTGCATTGTTTTATCTTAGCAGAAGCAAGCACACTGCATCATGACCCAGCATAATAAATGTTCACCTGTACATGAGAAGGTATCAAAGACAGAAGCATGGAACATTGCAAAAACACACTAGAGGCATTAACACTTAGGAGAGTAAAGGGCATTTCTCATTTATGGGAAAATATTAAAGATTTTCTTGAAGTTGGCATAAGGGCTCACGCCTGTAATCCCAACATTTGGGAGATTGAGGCAAGAAGATTGCAAGAAGTCATCCTGGGCTACAGGATAAGACCCTGATTCAGAAAACCAAGAAGAAAAAGATTATCTCGAAAAGCAAAAATCATAGTAACCCTTAAGAAAATGAGACATTCCCACTTGCAAGAACTACCTACAGGTAGTGCATACATGGCCTGTCTTCTCTATGTGTGCTATTCTTGGGGAAAAGGATTTTTTTTTTTTTTGTAATTTTAAATGGATTTTATCCTGGCAAAAAATTAACAACACAAAACACGTTTTGGTTTCTTTTTTCTGTGAACCAAAACCAAGGCCTCGTGTGCTAGGCAAATCCTCCACTAAGCCATATTCATTTCCAGGCCCAGAACTTTTAGTTGTATGATCCAGTGGCATCAAATACATTCACATTGTTATGCTTGTACAACCATCACTACTGTCTCTTTTTTGTTGGTGTGTGTGTGTGTGTGTGTGTGTGTGTGTGTATGTGCATGTATGTACAAAGCATGATGGGTGTGGAGGATAAGCTTGTGTACCCCAGCATGTGTTTGGAGGGCAGAGGACATCTTTGTGGAACTGGTTCTTCTTTTCCACCTTTATGTGGTTTCCAGGGGGATGGTAGGCAAGTCCCTAGTCTAACATACCAAGCACCTTTGCTACTGAGACATCTCACCCACCCCTCCTAAGCATTTTTATCGTTCCAAACTGAAACTCTTTCCTTTAAATACTGTTTCGTCCCCCAGTACCTGAGAAGTTTGGCTCTATTTTTGATCTCTGAATTTGCTCAGGTAACATCATATAAATGAGGTCATATGTATTTGTTATATAATAATTATTATCTAATTATGGGAACTGAATAGCTGCCTTACTTTGCTTAGCATTGTGTTATCAGCTCTCAGCCATATGTGCAGCAAGTTCTTTTGTCTTAATATTCCATTGTCTTGTTTTCTTTTAGTCGTGGTGGACATAGGGGTTGCCTCTGCCTGTTGGCTAATGTGATTAATACTGCCCTCCATTAGTATTCAAGTACAAATTTGAGCTCCTACAGAGTATACTGTTGGGTACAGCTAGCAGTAGCATTTCTGGATCATGAGACAATCTCGTGTTCAACTTTTTAAGCAGGAACCAAATTTCCACATCTTACGGATTTTCCCACCTGCAATACATAGACAGCTCCTAATGTTTTTATGTCCTCTGTATTGATTGCTTTTCTTGTTGCTCTGACAAAAGCAACTTAAGAAAGTATAGGTTTATTTTGGCTCATAGTTTACGGAGACAATCCATCATAGCAAGGAAGATTTGACAGCAGGCGCAAGAGGTAGATGGCCATGTGATGTCCAAGGTCAGGAAGCCAGACAGCCAATGAACACTAGTGCTACACTTGCCCTCTCCTTTCCTTCAGTGAGGGGCTCCAGCCAGTGATACCTCAGCAGACCTTGCTAGCAGCATCCTCACAGACGTGTCCACAGTTCCGTCTCCTGGGCTGTTCTTATCGCATCAACTCGTAATTAGCCATCACAATTGATAGCATGGTCTTTTAAAGTTTTGAAAAATTTTTCTCACCTATGTAGAAATTTGTTGAGAAGTATGGGGCATATACTATACTCATATTGTCATTACACTGAAAATAACCTCTTGGTGCCCAGCATTCAAAAAGTTGTATGAGTCAGAATTATAGAATATTGGCCCTGGTCTTGCTGGTTGTATATTACATTGTGTTCATGGAAATTTCTAAGCTAAGAAATTACTCTTATAAAGTCAATTCTTTATTTATTTACTTTGAGGCAGGGTCTCTGTACATAATCCTGCCTGTCCAGAAACTCACTTTGTGGAGCAGGCTGGCCTTGAACTCAGAGAGATCCAGCTGCTTCTGCCTCCTAAGTGCTGAGATTAAAGACATGTGACTTCACACCAGACTGAAGTCAAATTCTGAAGTACAAAATAAATAAAGATAGGTTTTTAATCTTTATGTCACTGTTCTTAGCAACGTTAGTTTTCTTTCTTCCTACAGCTCCCTGTACAAGCAGTACTTTCTTTTGCCATAGCAACATGTGCATCAACAATTCTTTGGTCTGTAATGGTGTTCAAAACTGTGCGTACCCTTGGGATGAGAACCACTGTAAAGGTAAGTCTGATGCAAAGGCCAGCATTTCTGTGAGGAGTAGGGGTTCCTTTCATAAGAAACAAACTAAAAAGTCTTTTTCTATTGATATGCTTAGCATAGTTGCTATAGCACATAATAACATTCTTTTTTTTTTTTTTTTACCGAAGAATAGGTTTCTCTTGGTAGCCCTGGCTGTCCTAGAACTCACTCCATAACCAAGCTGGCCTCAAACTCAAAGATCCACCTGCCTCTGCATTCCAAGTGCTGAGATTAAAGGCGCATGCCCCCACAACCTGATATAATAACATTCTTGAAGAATAATTGGCTTCTAAAGCATTTCTTTGTAGAGTGAAAAGTGTATCTGTATATTTTTTGCCCTGTATTGTTGCTGAATTGTGGAGTTAGATAGTTTGGAGGACAACCTCGAGAATGGAAGAACTGATAAGACCAGCTGATAGATGAGCACAGTGATGTAAAGCAATGCATTAGAGAGTGCTTTTTCTTTCTTTGTTCTTTTCCCTTCATCGAGTTACTTGTGTTTCTAACATATACTCTGAAGTGCAAATATGATGATGAGAGGCCTTAGATACCTGTAGCTTGGTTGTTGCATAGTTGGAGAAATAGAACATATCTGTCTTTCGCTTTCCTGAGCGTTGGATGAATAAATATCTTACTGGGGGAACATGGTGTAGTCTGAAGGCAACACTTACTACTTGGCAAGTACTTATCATTCCAAAACAGTAGGCTGTGGTAGTACACCTGGATTGTTAGTTTGATCCCACAGATATGAATCAACGCAGCATTTGTCAAATCTGCCTTACAGCAGAAAACCAAACTTGATAGATCAAGAGTATTTGTTTTGACATTTTCTATATTAATGTAATTTGCAGATTGTAAGCACTTATGAACCTTTTGAGTAAGGAAGCTGAGTTTTTCTGTTCCTAGCTAGCTATATCATGATTTGTTACTTGACTCGAAAATCATGGTTAATAGTATTTTCTATTTGTTTAAAAAACAAAAACAATTCTTCAGTTGAATTTTCTCTGGTATGTTTGAATCAAATATCCTGTTTTACAGAAAAATGTCTAGTCAATATGTGCTGGAATTCCTATTAATGAATTGTGAAAACCTCAACATTTCTTTCTTATAGAGAAGAAGAAAGCTGGACTATTTGAACAAATCACTAAAACTCATGGAACAATTATTGGCATCACATCAGGGATTGTCTTGGTTCTTCTCATTATTTCTATTTTAGTACAAGTGAAACAGCCCCGGAAAAAGGTAATGGCTTGTAAAACTGCATTCAATAAAACTGGGTTCCAGGAAGTATTTGATCCTCCTCATTATGAACTATTTTCACTAAGAGAGAAAGAGATTTCCGCAGACCTGGCAGATTTGTCAGAAGAACTTGACAACTACCAGAAGATGCGGCGCTCCTCCACGGCCTCCCGGTGCATTCATGACCACCACTGTGGCTCTCAAGCATCCAGTGTCAAACAAAGCAGGACCAACCTCAGTTCCATGGAACTTCCCTTCCGAAATGATTTTGCACAACCACAGCCAATGAAAACATTTAATAGCACCTTCAAAAAAAGCAGCTACACTTTCAAACAAGCACATGAGTGCCCTGAACAAGCTCTAGAGGACAGAGTAATGGAAGAGATCCCCTGTGAAATTTATGTCCGGGGGCGAGATGATTCTGCGCAAGCATCCATATCCATCGACTTCTAATTGTCAGCTTAAGGCGTTAATTATTAAGTATGTGTATGCAGCCTACACCAACACCCATTCTGTCTCAGCAACCAATCTTGTTCTGTCAGAATTTGAAAGACCTTCATAATCTTTCATAATGCTGATGTTTTATTATCTCAGGCAATCTATATATGTGAAACCAACCAAGGAACTTAATGTATTCAGTGGAAAAAGTCATCATCCGTTGCTTGGTATCTTATCTACAAAATACCAACAGTTCAATAGTTGAGGAGCGCGTGGTCATGTTGAGCCAGGCTCAGCAGCCTGGAGGTGTTGACATCAGGATACTGTTCTTGTTCACACAGCCCCATCAATTTGATCCCACAGTAAATTTAAAAGTAAGATTTTTCTTTTTATTCCTTTTGTCTTTCTTTTCGCCGATGTGTTTGTTTGCCTGTGGTTTTACCATTTCGGTTTCCTGCATAAGGGGACAAAGCGTCACTGTATTCAGCATGGGCCTGTATTTGCTCTTATGTGTACAGTATGGCTAGTCCTGTGATGAGTGGCAGTTTCAAACACAGTCACATTTCATTTCTCCCGGAATCATTTCTATACTGTTGTCTTTAATAACTGTAACTTTAGACCTTTTTATGTGGGAAGCAATAGATGACATGATTTATCACCTTGAAATCATGCTTCATCTTAATTATGCTAGAAAAGTAATAATCCTGGGGTGTGTTATTACCAGTTAATCCTGACTGGGGATTTGAGAAAGATTAAAGACATGCAGCAACCTCTGAAGTCGTTCCTGTTGGGTCTCATTCAGTGACAGACATTCATCCCAGTAATTGGTCCCAGAATTCACTTGTGGGCAGGCCTTTAATATGGCTTCATGCAGAGCTTCACGTCAGATCTGTGCTCCCTATCATCTTTCCAAAACATTTATTTGTTCTCTTGGTATTGGTTTGTCTCTGGCACATGGTAACTATGGTTAGTGAAAGTTTAAAGAAGTCCTCTGAGAAACTGTGTGAGCCTTTACATAGCTTCTGCTTGGAACAGTGCATTTTTCTAGCCATTATCATCAATAGAAACTTCAACTTTTTTTTAAAAAGCACTTTTGACCTTATGTTTTATAAAGTATATAAAATGATAATTTATAAACATCGAAACTCATTGGTTTTTTAGACTTTTGATATTATTTGATACTGTACAAACTTTATCAAACCAATATTTACGATACACGAGACAGATTTCTTTGAATGTTCACATTAGAGACTATATGTAGAAATAGGCTGTGATGGGACTGTACCATAAACTATTATAAAGACCTTGGTCATAGGGACGTGTACATAAGCTTCTTTCTTTGCTGCTGTATTTAGTTGGTGATAAGTTTTTCACTGTGGTATTTATTGTTCCAAATCACAACAGAAATCTTATATTAAAGTATACATTGTTAATGATCCTTCACTTACATTATTTATAGCAGGAATACTTTGGATAAGTATGTATGGGGAAGAATCCATATATTTAATGATAGCTCATATAAATAATTTTATTTTAAAGAGGTAAATTCTCACTTTCTTTATTGAACTAAATTTTCAAATGAAATGTACATGTCAGGTTTCACTAGATTTCACTAATTCTTTTAAATACTACATAAATCTGATCTCTCAGATTGCTGAGAACTGTGACCTTCAGTGTGATGTACTTTCTGCCCAAACTCTGTTCTCTGTATGACGTTTTTATTTTTAAAAAGGAAATTATATCAAGAAGATAGGAAAACCTACACTTAGCATAAGCATGATTTTATTTTTTTAAGCCAGTAAACATTCCTGCTTCTAAAAATAGAACTTGAAAAAGAAAAAGTAATTTCAAAACATAGTAATCACTGAACTTTCCAGAGAAAGATTAGTAACTGTGTTCTTTCAGCAGCTATTAAGTCGGCATTTTATTAGATGAGACTGGTGAGCCGGTGTCCCAGCAGCACAGTAAATACTTAAATTGACAGCTGTGACCTCAAGAAAGAAAAATTAACATTTCCTGTATAAAATTATAGCCATCATAAAAATAGTTGCCTTACTCATTCTTAATTTTTAGGTTATAGAGCTTATACTTTGATTTTGTTCATCATTATCACTTGTAGCTATATATATATATTTTAACACTGTATCCTATTTTAAAGGAATTTGAAGAGACTTACAAAACACTGGTATTTGTAGAAAACACTGGATGTAACAACAGTGTAGATTTGCATGATCTCGTGCAACTCAGCTTGGGCAGTCATTTGATTCTAAATTCTCTAACGAAAAAAACCTGAAAGTTGTTTCTTTGCACAGTAGAAAACACTTATATTCAGAGGCTAAAGTGAAAGCCATAAATTTAGTAACAACCGCCATGAAATTTAGCCATTTTTTTAATTTATTTATTTATTAAGGATTTCTGCCTCCTCCCCACAACCACTTCCCATTTCCCTCCCCCTCCCCCGATCAAGTACCCCTCCCTCATGTGAATTCTTACATCCTACAGATTACCCCAGTGTTAAACATGCCTTCTGACTAAAAATGTAAAGCAGAGGGTGGTAAAAATCTCCCAGGCCGGAGAGTACTAAGTACTGGCTATCTGATATCACCATTGCTATCTTGCATCCCAAGGTTAGCACAAGCAGTCAGTGCCCAGTGGCCACAGACCACAACCTACTCCACCACTATCTCAAAGACATAGGAATAAACTGTGCTATTCCTTTTGCAGAGGACGGATATTCAATATAAATATTTAACCAAAGCCAAAGGATATTCACATTTCATATCGCAGAGATCTAAATGGCTCCTTTACTTTGATTTAATGGAACCTTTGTCACTATCCTAGTGGTGTTTTGTATAATTGCTAAGCATTGAGGAACCGCAGCATCCCTGAACGCTTCTGTAGTTATGTTACTACCTAATGAGGGTGCTTGCTCATTTCCGGGGCATGTCAGCTGCTGAGGGAAGATGAGAAAAGCCTGGTTGTTCCAGGAATAATTAGCAGTCAGAGATTACACTTTGTGGCAAAATGGTGTCTGCTGTATGTCCATGTTTCTTTATTGAAAATACTAAAAGAAATATGCCTGATTTGGCACATTGATTCCGGACAGAAGGAACTTTAGGTTTTATTCTTTTTAAAGATCCAAAAGAGATGGTGTCGTCTAGTTTTGTTAATGAGAAGACTAAACCCTAAAGACAGACTTCCCACATGTCTGGACTCCTAGCCCAGTGTTCATTCTCGGCTTCTCGTTCCCTCCCTGCTTAGCGTTTAAAGTCACAGTTCTAAACGTCAGCCTAGATGTTCTATGCAAAGCTCGTAAGTTGTTCTTACCTAAAATGTAATGCTGTAATTTTGTTTACATTGTGGCTTCCACCCCCCCCCCTTTTTAATTTATAGAACACTGCTAGCCTATCTTTTTTGTTGTCAGACTTTCTTGGTACCTGAAAAATATGTGATTACTGTGAATTCTTAATAAACAGTGCTGGTTAGCAGCACACAGGGTGATGCCAGAGAGGAAGCGCCTGTGCTTTCGCTTTTGTAATGTTTTTTTAAGTTAAAAGAACAAACGATGTACATTATAGAAATTATAAATATTGGGGTACTGTATCTTGAGTTTTGAGAATTATTTGAGTCTGAACCACAATAAGGAGACAAGCTGACCTGGAATATCTTTTTAGCTTCCTGCACCATCAATTACCTGTTTTATATACCTCTACTAGTAATATGCTCTTCTTTACTAAGCTTTTTAATATACTTGTGACTATCTTTCTGAGATTGGTTTACTGGCTCAAAAAGCCCACCAACCTAAGGATGAGGGTGCACGTATAGTGAGTACTACCTAAACTTGTTTTCTAAAGCAGTAGATTTTTATTAAAGGTGAACTTCCAGATCATATAAGACTTCTCATGTGCTTAATCCACATTTGGCACTTTAAAGTATTTAACCCTTGAACTGCAAATAAAAACTCCTGTTTTGATTTTCTTGCTTGCCTCAATTTCTAAGGTGTATAAAATTAGACCATTTAGGTCACTCTGGGCATCAGAATTTACATGTCCTTCCTAGGACAGAGTAGGCATTTCCTATTTGTTATTATTTTCAAAATAAAATAGTCATAGTTGAGATTTATTTGTTAAAGTAACTTTGGATGATTATTAAAATTAAGAATCATTTTTTACTTTTAAATTAAGAGAAGATGATCTTTTAAAAAATAAAGTTATAGAATGGGGAAGAGATGGTTTAGCAGAAAAGAACACTTACTACTCTTCCAGAAGACCAGGGTTCAATTCCCAGCACCTACATACATGGCAGCTCACAGCCACTGAGATTCCAGTTCCAGGGAATCTAGCTCCTCTTCTGGCTCTGTGGGTTCCAGGCATGCATGCCGTACACAGACAGACATGCAGGCAAAACACTCATCTTCATAAAATAAAATTTGTAACCAATAACTCTCTAATTGGATTTTAGGCCTACTCACCAAGAGAGAGATGATGCCTGGTTCTGGAAACCTAGCCAAATACCCAGGGCTAGTAAAGTCGTGGATCTTGGAGGAGAACCTATAACCGCCATTTTACTAAAGCAATACAAAGCCTAATTACACTTTATTTATTCCTATACCCACAGATAAGTGTAGTTCTTACCCCTCATCAAGAAAATTTCTCTGTACAGTGGAAGGCGATGATTACAGAAACCACAACTGATCAAATTACAGAGTTGTGGAAGCCGGTCCCAACTGACGCATCTACAGCACAACTCCTGTACTACAGTAGAGATCTGTGTGAAACAGGGTGCAAAAATTGCAAGAGCCAGATACCAGGAGTTCTGAGAGACTATGTCTCCTTGAAGTGTCAGAAACACTATATCCTCGAAGGCTCACCAACATAACTACATAAACATGACATCAAGGATGACATCAGACATGCATGCATGGAAGGGGAAGCTCGTGAGACCTACAGGCAACTAAGGAGTGCTGAGAACTGGAGAAGTGGTTTCCCCTGGGCAAGGGCACAGCAGTCGGTTATCCAATAGCACACGATCGCCCTGAGAGCAAACATCAAGTAACATTACTCAATCTGGATAGGTAGGAGATAGATATGTAATTAGATAGATCAGTCAATTGACTGACTGATTGATTGATTTAGGGAAATAGACAACACACACATCAACTATTAAAGAGGGCCAAGTATCTAAGTGAGAGCAAGAGGGGATACATGGGAGGGGTTGGAGGGAGGAAAGGAAAGGGGTGATGATATAATTAAAATCTCAATAAAAGTAAAAATGTATACTATAAAATAAAAATTCAAAAATTTTAAAGATTCTCTGACTCTTTAAAGAAAAGTTAGAGACTGGAGAGATGGCTCAGCAGTGCAGGTAAGAGTTC